AAAAAAAAAAAAAAAAAAAAAAAAAAAAAAAAAAAAAAAAAAAGAGAGAAAAGAAAGAAGAAAAAAAGCCTCCTTCCATCACAAATTATTTCTGTTCATAAAATCAAAAACATTAGTTCTCTGCTCACCCACAGCCTCCTCCAGCACATTTAAATAAACCACGTTAAGAAGTAAAATTTGTAAAACATTCGTCAGATGGAAGGAGTAAAGTTGTGTGGGTTTGTATCGTATGCACACAGATGCCTTCAAGACCAGCAGGTATCTGGTATGGGCACCAGTTCCCCCAGCACTGACCTCACAAAGCACCTTCTCCAGTCCCCATCCTTACAAAGAACCTCGTGGGAGAGAGCCCTAAGTTTCCAACACAACCAGGCTGGATGCAGTGCGGTGCTGAATGCTCCAAGAATTCCACCATCCACGCTACAAATGTGTTTTGGCTTGCTGAGAATCCTACTGAGAAACAGAAACCCCTGAATTTTCATGCTTGCTTCATCCAGGCTCACTGTGCAACTGCTGCCAAGAGCTGAACTGCTGATACAACTCTGATCTGCACAGCACCCTCAGCTCCTGCAGATGTTGCTGATGGCAGCTGACCTATTTATAAAAAAGCAGCATTTTCCTATTTTGAAAGAAGTCTGAAGATAACTAGGAATGGTGACTTTTCGAAGAAGCACACAGCTGTAATGAAGGTTTAACCGCCACGTACTAATAACTGTTCCTGCCTGATTCTTCCAAGTGCCTCTCCTTTACTCTTCTGATGACCTATGACACTCCTACATCTCATTTTGTCCCACTGAGCTAAACAGAGCCCAACATTCATGCACAGTTCCCTTAGGAGAGTCTTAAATTCAATGGCATGTTGATGAACAAAGCATGTCTTTCTCTATAACGCAGGGAGAAATACAATCACATCAGTATCATAACCTGCTTAGGCTAACGTACCTCAATTTATAGGAAAGCCAAGCATAGACATCTCCAATAAGACAGCCTGGGACTACACAAATACACATTTGCCTCTGAAATTCTTAGCATCCTTGTAAGGTAAGTCAAACCTATAAGGAAGAAATCATACCCTAAAACCTATACCACGTGTGCCTAACACACAGCACTCATTATGAGCTGGCAGCTCTTTCTGGCCCATTGTACATGGTCCTTAAGATGCCCTGAAGATTCAGTGTGTGGAACACGTGGAGCTTTTACCATAACCACTGGAAAATTCAAAAGCTCCTTTCTGTCCTTCTGCCTGTGGGGTGGATTTGGCACTCAGGCTGTGCACAGAACAGCTCTGGCTTTGCCAAAAAGCGAGGGCTGGT